CTGACCTGCTCTTTCTCTATTTTATTGAGGTAAGTATTTAGAGATATACATTTTCCCATAAGTACTGCTTTGGCTGCATCTCATAAATTTTGGTATGTTGTCTCATTATTGCCATTCTCTGATGAAAATACTGTTTCTATGATTTCTGGTTTGGCCCACTCATTCTTTAGGATTAGATTATTTAGTTTCCAATTAATTTTAATCTATCTTTCCGTGGCCCTTTACTAAATGTAATTTTTATTACATCATGATCTGAAATGGAACCATTTAATATTTCTGCCTTTCTGCATTTAATTGTGAGGTTTTTATGCCCTAACAATGGTCAATTTTTGTGTAGGTGCCATGTACCGCTAAAGAAAAGGTATATTCCTTTTCCTCCCCATTCAATTTTCTCCAAGGGTCTATCTTATCTAACTTTTCTAAAATTCTATTCCTCTCCTTAACTTCTTCCTTGTATCTTCTGTGTTAGACTTATCTAGTTCTAAGAAGGTGAAGTAGGTCTCCCACTAGTATAGTTTTACTATCTATTTCCTCCTGTAACTCCATTTAACTTCTTTACAAATTTGGATGCTACACCATTTAGTGTATACATGTTTAGTATTGCTATTACTTCATTGTCTATGGTACATTTTAGCAAGATGTAGTTTCCTTCTTTGTCTCTTTTAATTAGATCTATTTTTGCTTTTGTTTTGTCTGAGATCATGATTGCTACCCCTGCTCTTTTTACTTCAGCTGAAGTATAATATATTCTGCTCCAGCCTTTTACCTTTACTCTGTGTGTCTCTCTCTGCCTCAAATGGGTTTCTTGTAAACAACATACTGTAGGATTCTGGTTTTTAATCTACTCTGCTATGCGCTTCCACTTCATAGGTGAGTTCATCCTATTCACACTCACAATTATGATTACTATATATTTCCCTCCATCCTATTTTTCCCATTTATACTTTTCTCTCTATCTCCTTTCACCCTGTCCCTCCTCACCAGTGTTTTGTTTCTGACCACCACCTTCCCTCAATGTGCCCTCCCTTCTATTAGTGCCCTTCCCCTTTTTCTTGTCCCTTGCCCCTCCTACTTCCCTACATGGTAAGATAGATTTCTATAACCAACTGTGTATTTTATTTCCTCTTTGAGCCAAATCTGATGAGAGTAAGATTCAGGCAATGTTCACCCCCTTCCCCTTTTCCCCTCCATTGTAACAGGTCTTTCATACCTCTTCCTGTGATATAATTTACCCCATTCTGCCTATCCCTTCCTTCTTCTCCCAGTATAATCCTTTTTATCACCCTTTAATTTTTTTAATATCCTATCAAAGTTACTTATATCTGCACCCTCTATATATACTCCTACCTGCTCTAATAAAAATATAGTTCTTAAGTTATAAGTATCATCATCCCATGTAGGAATGTAAACAGTTTAACCTTATTCAGTAACTTACGTTTTTTTATTTCCCATTAACCTTTTTATACTTCTCTTGAATTTTGTATTCTAAAATGGAATTTTCTGTTTAGCTCTGGTCTTTTCATCAGGAATGTTTGGAAGTCCTCTATTTCACTGAATGTCCATTTTCCCCCCCTGAAAGATTATGCCCAATTTTATTTGATAGTTGATTCTTGATGGTAATCCAAGCTCCTTTGCCTTCTGAAATATCATATTCCAAGCTCTCCAATTCATTAATATGGAAGTTGCTAAATCCGATGTAATCCTGACTGTGACTCTTCAATATCTGAATTGATTTTTCTGGATGCTTGCAATATTTTCTTTCTCCTTGACCTGAAAATTCTGGAATTTGGCTATAATATTCCTGGGAGTTTTCATTTTGGGATCTCTTTCAGTAGGTGATTGGTGGATTCTTTCAGTTACTATTTTACCCTTTGGTTGTAGGATATCAGAACAGTTTTTCTTGATAATTTCTTGAAAAATTATGTATTGGCTCTTTCTTTGATCATGGCTTTCAGGTAGTTCAATAGTTCTTAAATTATCTCTCCCAGATCTATTTTCCAGGTCAGTTGTTTTTCCAGTGAGGTATTTTACATTTTCTTCTATTTTTTAAACTCTTTTGATTTTGTTTGGTTGATTCCTGATGTTTCACAGAGTCAATAGCTTTCACTCACTCAATTCTAATTTTTAAGGAATTAATTTCTTCAGTTTTTGTACTTCCTTTTCCATTTGGCCAATTCTACTCTTTCAGGCATTGTTTTCTTTTTCTAAGATGTTGGCTCCTTTTCCATGATTCCCTTGCATAACCCTCATTTTTTTTCCTACTTCTCTTATTTAATTTTCACAATCTTTTTTGAGCTCTTCCAGGAGGACTTGCTGGGCCTGAGACAAATTCATATTTCTCTTTGAGGCCTCACATGTAGGTGATCTGACATTGTTATCCTCTTCTAAGTTTATGTTTTGATCTTCCCTGTTGCCATAGTAGCTTTCTCTGGTCATGGCTTTTTTTGTTTCTTGCTCATTTTCTAGACTATTTCAAGACTTTTAAAGTCGAACTCTACTCCTGGGATACACTGAGGCACTGTCCCAAGCTTCTTATGCTTGGGGGGTGGGGTGGGGGAAAAGGGCACGGGGCAGGGGTCTGGTCACTGTCAGTCTTTGCCAAGACCTGCAGGGCTGGCAGTTCACAACTGCTCTGGGGTTTCTTGGCCTAGTCTAGCCAGCCGCACTGGGGCCTCTGGGACTTCCAGGCCTGAGCATCAGCCTGTTGCTGGGGCTGGCGGCCTCATCACTGGCCCACTATGCCTCTGGCCAGTTAAGCCAGGGCCATAGGGCCTCAGTTACTGATCTGTGCTGGGGCTAGGGGCCTCCTGCTGGCTTGCCCAGACACTGCCTGCACTGGGCTGCACTCTTCTTTTACCCAAGTGAGACAGACCTTTCCTTCAATCTTTCTAAGTTATCTTCTGCTAGAAAATTGTTTCATCCCATTCTTTAAGGGTTCTGTTGCTCCAGAATTCATTTTGAAGGGACAGCTAGGTGGCGCAGTGGATAGTGCACCGGCCCTGAAGTAGGACCTGACTTCAAATCTGGCCTCAGGCTAAACACTTGACACTTACTAGCTGTGTCATGGGCAGGTCACTTAACCCCAATTGCCTAGAAATGAAAAAAAATTTTTAAAAATCAGAATTCATTTTGAAGCATGATTTAAAGTTGTTTTAAGGGAAATTGGGGAGAGCTCAGGCAACTTCCTGCCTTTTCCGGGCCATTTTGGTTCCACCTCCTCCCCTTGCCATCACTTGTAACCTTGTTCTTTGGAAAAATACATTTAAGTACCAGGTATCTGACTTAGCAAAGTATGGCAACACAACACCTTTGTTAATTTGGAGACTGCTTATAAAGAGAAAACAGCAATGTATACATTGACTATAAACATATCAGTAATAAAAGCAATGGAAAAATCTGGTGGGGTAAATACATGAAAGGAAAAAAATTCATAAGAGGAAAATGATTACAAAAGGGGAGGTTTACTTATTAAAGTTAGTAGCCTTTTTTGTTAATTAACTATAAAGAATAAGTTTATAGTTTCAAGAATAATTTTTAAATTCTTGTGTATTTGAATGTTAGTTTTGGTTTTTGTTTATAATTTTTAAAGCTGACTTTAGCTGTAAAATTATTCAGTTTAATAGGTCATTCAGATGGAAAGGGGGAATAATCTATAAAGCAAAACAGTCAAGAAAATTATTTTCTTTGGGAAAGCATTCTGGTTATCTGAGTAGTAGCTGCTTCTCATAAAAACAAAAGCTTTTCAAGCTATGAAATGGGGTTCCAGCTCTGTGTGTGTGTGTGTGTGTGTGTGTGTGTGTGTGTGTGTGTGTGTGTGTGTGCGTGTGTGCGTGTGTCTTATTTCACTTTTTTTAATCAACTAAAAACAGATGAACCACATTGTGGTAGAGAGCCAGACTCAGAGCCAGGAAGGCCTGGGTTTAAGACTCACCTCTGACACATCCTGGCTAAGTGTCACCCTAATCAAACCACCTATCCTTTCAGTGCCTCAGGGAAATTCTAAAATTCAAAGCTGTAGAGCAGGTACAGATCTGTATTGGTAGAAGCTCCCCACCAGAAATTCTTAACACTAATGAAATCAAAAGTCAAGTTAATAAAATGAAAAAGAAAGGGTCATAGATTCTGAGCTGGAAGAGACCTTCCAGTTAAGTGAGCTGAACTCCTTCATTTTGCAGCTATGAGGAAGCAGAGGCCAAAGATGCAAATTGAGAAGTGGGGTCAAAAGTCCTCTGACTCCAGAGCCAACACTCTCTTCATACTCAGTACAGTGTGCAATGAGTACTCATAGTACTTGTTTTCTAAAGTATTTTGATTATTTTTTATGCACCAGATTGATAGTTACTTGCTCTAGTTGTAATTCTAACCCCTGGGTCTAAAGGATAAACTAGTTAAATGAAACCAGAGGGAGTAACACAAATTGAAATTACTTAATGGAAATTCTCTATGTATGTTTACTAACTAAGTAAATTAATCTGCACCATTTCACGATCATTTCATAGTTTGAAAAATCATGTTAAAAAAACCTGTAGAACCTGAGTTAATGACTTAGAACCTCAAGTAGACAGCTGTTTGTTGTTTTTTCCTGAAATAATGCTATCACAGGAACTCCTGATGTTCTATACTAAAAAATGATTTCTGAAACCTTTGGAAAAAAGATAAAAGCTTCAGAAATTACTTTAAAATGCCTTACATGTAGTCATTGTATTTTAATGGACTTGAAACTAGGAATTTTACAAAATCTCTAGGTACAAGGTCACTGCTAAAAGCAAGATTAGAAAACTGAGTTTACTACTGCACTCTCCTTGCTCCCTCTTCTCAATCTTGTCCAAATACCAACAAAAATTCTGTTTCCCTAAAACAGATGATCAGTAGAATGCCTAAATGGTTTCCAAGGTATACCGATGTTGATACCTGGACGCTGACAGTATCTTTATTTGTAGAACCCTGATTTATGAGAAACTTAGGTTTTAAAATTTTAAGAAAAGTAACAAGAAACCTACCTGGAACTGATTAATGAAAGGTGCTATATTCAATCCAAGAGTTGGCTCAGTCCCTTGAACAGCATTCTCTTCAACCAGTGTCTGTGATTCCACAAGCATCCCCAACATTAGTACATACTGAGGAAAGATTCTGCCTCCAGATTGTAATAAACATCTGTAAAAGGTAGAAATTTTTAAAGAAAAATTGAACAATTGACATATATTTCTAAACACAACAAGGAAGCATAAACATGTGAATTTAAAAGCTGTTTGCTTTTCAAAGTTGAAAAAATAGAACAAGTCAATACTATCTATCTATATCTAAAAACAGATATGAAGATTATCACCAGATAATTATAACCTGCCTGCATTCTACAGGACCATCAACTGCATAAACTTAGTACCTAGAATGGAAAGTATTAAGATCTTTTCAATAAGTTCTGGACAAATGACCAGGATATTCCAACCAATTCTAGGGACAATGTGCCCCAAATTATGGGATAATGAACTTGGACCAGGTAGGTTTAGGGGGCGGAGGGATGCCGGCCCAAGTTTCCTAGACCCACCTACAAGGATGAAAGAGGGTTACGTGATTGGAACAGGTAAAAAAAAACTTAAGTTGAGAGTAGAAACTGGGGAAATGTAAACTTACTAAATGCTAGAAGAAATAATAATGAGAATAATATATATTCATTTCTTTAATTTGGAATTACCTAATTTAGATGGGAATATCCTTCAATCTCTCCAAATTAAGGATGGTTTTACTCTATTTAGAAATTAGTAGTATTCTAGTCTCTTACATACTAAATTTCTTCTGGTAGAAAAATTGTCAGTGACCAAAATCTATGACTAATGAGGTACAGAAGCCTTATAAACAAACAAAAAAAAATTTAAGAACATTTATAAACAGTCTAACAGAACTATCACCTCATTGCTATTGGCTAGTAGACCACCCCAAAATACTCATTTCACTACTTGTATAATACAAATAACATGGAGGTCATTCTGGGTTTCCTAAAGCTATGCCAGCTGGCAAGTCCTTCACCAAGCTAAAAAGGCTTCTAATATAGGCTCAGCCAAAGCCTGTGTGTCTCTGTCAACTGCAGAGAAGTTTAGCAAAGGTTTTGGTGAGACTCATTATCAGAATCTCAACTACTGGGTAATGAATTTTATTTATGCTACGTCAACTCATGAAGGCCACTGGTAAGAGAAAAATCAGACTGATGAAATCACATATTTAATTATTTTAAGTATAGTACAATGGCAGAAAGAAGATGCTCCTAATTTTACATCATTATGGACTGATTAAATTTTACAAATGCACTGGTAAGATTGATGATGGTTCTTGGAATGAAGATGCGAATTTGATTAAAAAAACAGCTTGTATAAAAGTCTTTTAAAAAAATTTTTTTTTTTTTTGCTAAACCAAGGAAGTCTAGGCAAGGAAACAGAACCCTGATGAAATTGACTAAATTAAGAAAATGAAAGTGATGGATACAGAGAACTATGGAAAGATTTGTATGAACTAATGGAGAGTAATGTCAGGGGCACAATTTATACAATGACTACAACATTGTAAACCACAACAACAGGTTGACTTAAAAACTCTAATCAATGCAATGACCAACCACAACTCCAGAAGATAGTTGATGATGAAGCATGCTATCCAACTCTTGACAGAGAGATGATGGATGAGTGGTGCAAAATATTACATACATTTTTAGACAAGGCCGACTGGGGATCTGTTTTGCCTGACTAGGATTATTTGTCACAAAAGACGGTTTTGGTAGTTTTGTCTTTAGTAAATAGTGAAATGGTCAGGAGGAAAGTAAGAAAGGGGAACAAATGATAATGGTGTTAAAAAAATTTCACATTACAAAAAGAAGTTAAAAGAATAAAAATAAATAAAATTAAAATCTTGTCCCCCACTCCAGTCTTTACATATATAGGAGATTGGAGAAGTTTTCATTTCCATTAATATTCTCAAGTTTTGTACATATAAAAAGTCACATCTCATTTAATAGGTGTATTTACCTAGATGTGGGGAACCTGGGGCCGCAAGGCCACACGTGATCCTCTATGTCCTCAAGTGCAGCCCTTTCACTAAATCCAAAATTCCGCCCCTCTGGAGTCCTAGGCAAGGGTCCCCTCAAACAACTAGACTGGGAAAGGTCTAACTAGAATATGTCAACTCAAAATTTACCCACTAATCATCAGACAAAAGAAAATATTTAGGTAAATTTGAAATAACTATATACGTTAATTACTGCTAACAGGATGTTACTTCAACTCCACTAAGGAATTTTGTTTTTAATGACTACATTGTTTTTTCATCAAAATGTCTAATTTCAGGGGACTTTGAAGCTCTTTATCTTTCTGATACTATGGAAAAAGTTGTCCTCACAGACTGCTTAACATTTTATTTTATGAGATCTCTTTCAAAATGTGTTGACTTTGCTTGCTAGATTAAAACTGTGCTGTTCATAAAATTCCCAGATTCTAAAAATGCAGAATTGGGAGCTCAAACAAAACACACCTTTAGAAAACTGACACAAGTGCCAAGAAATTTGCTTTGAGCAGTTTCACTCTATAAATACTTTAATTCTCAGTTAACTAGAAAAATTTATTAAACCACAATATTATATTTCCCTAAATAGGCATTTTCATGCCAATATAGCTATGTTAATTTCTTTTTTTTTTTTTTTTGGCTAGGCAATGAGGTTAAGTGATTTGCCCAGGGTCACACAGCTAGTAAGTGTTATATGTCTGAGGCTGGATTTGAAGTCAGGTCCTCCTGAATCCAGGGCTGGTGCTCTAACCACTGCACCACCTAGCTGCCCCTACATATGTTAATTTTTAATGGTTAATCCTCCTGGCTCCTTACAAAACTGAGAATCTCACCTTCTTACTCATTAAATAAACACAAGCAAAAGATGCCTTCTACCTGAGTATTTTTCTGAACTGAGCTGACAAAAGTTCTTAATCTTTAGATAGGTAACACTCAAGATGTAATTTTAATACCCTCATAAATCACTGGCACAGCCAAGCCAATTCAGTGGAAGAATTGTCTGATTTCTTAAAACAGGACAAGTATAATACAATATGCTAAAACTTCACTAAATGCATCAGAACAAATACAATTATCTGCTAAAATAATGATTCATTTTACTGGGAAAAAAAGATGTAGTTTTCCTTGAGAGCACAGACAGCTTTGAAATAGACTATCCTCAAAATGTCCTGTTTCTTACCTACATCCAAAGATATAGTTTATATTTGCCACAAGAGGGTGCCATTCCATGAATTTAAGGAAACACACTAGGTTAAAGAAAGCATGAAAAGATAATGACCCACTTAAATATGCTGTAACAAGAAAGCCAATTGTAAATCAGCTAATGCACAAACAACTGGCTAAATCTGTTGTCAAAAACTGAATTGCCAGAAGGGTCTCCATAAAAAACTCTAAGCACTGAAACAAAAAAAAGATGAAGAACTAGTAAATATGTCTAGCCACAATCCTACCCAGATAGTGGATAGAAAATTCTTAAAATGTGTACTCTACATTATTTCCAAGTTAAAATATTCCAGAAGCCATTCATGGTCTCAATGTTGTACTAAGCAAAGTAATGTTCTTTAGCTCTGTTCAGATGATATAATTAAAAAAAACTTTCATGTCTGTTTAGTTTTGCTGGCATTGAGAGTGTTTTGTTGCTGCTCATACCACTGCTGTTGCCAGACTCCTCAAAGGAATCCTCTGCAAGGCCAAATGCTGCTTCAGAGCCATCTGTGCCTTTGATGGTAAAAATATGTTCCTACTCCAATTCTAGCCATAAATGGCCAAAGTTTGAAAAAAGGAGGAACTCTTTTATGGAAGTAGAGGGAGGTTGGATTTGTACCATCTCTTCTCCCTTAATATATGACATTCTTACCCCTTCCCTTTTTCAGAAGGTTTAAATATAGCAACAGAGAATCTCAAGTGAGCAAAGCTTTCATGACACTGTACACAAAATCCATGAGAAGATAAGAAGGCATGGGAGGACAGGCCCAGCAAGTAATCAGGACGCTCCGGAAAGAATGCAATGGACAATGGATGTGAAAGGTACCTCGAAGGATAGTTGGTTCTGAACTACCTTGCTTCTCATACATTCATTCCCTTTTATCTGGTTTCTTCCACATGCCAAACTCTGATCTCTATAAAATCTTTATAAGAATGATCTATACACGTATCAAGGGTATTCTGGGTGAAAATATAAGAAGTGAATAAAAGAAGGCTTTTTACAAACAATTTTCTACAACAGACTACATTTTCAGATACAATGTTCTGAAAAAATGTAATAAAGGCAAGATCCCACTATGTTTATTTTATGAAAAAATTATTTTTACTAAGTCAAATCTTAAATGTTCTCCACCAAGTGTCTCCTAGATGTAAGATCATACAAGATTCCCTAATAGATACACTCAGAGAAATTATTTTTATTCAACTGTCTCCTGATCTTCGATATCAAGCAAGGTAATCAAAAGTTAAAATATGGCAAGCGAAAAGGAAAACTAAAAACCCCATACCATGACAGTTCAGAAGAGAATACTCAAAATTTGGTCCCTACTTAAGGAAGACATTAACTTTACTAACATCTGGTAGATTAAATTTATTTTCTCTATAGTAGTTTCCTATACCCTCTCAGGGCCCAGAAGCAAATACTATTTTCCCATGACCCTGCACTGAAAAATTTACGAGGTAAAAAACAACAACAAGGGCAGCTAGGTGGTGCAGTGAATAGAGCTCTGGCCTTGGAGTCAAGAGGACCTGAGTTCAAATCCTGCCTCAAATATTTGCCACTTACTAGCTGTGTGACCCTGGGCAAGTCACTTAACCCTGATTGCCTCATCAAAAAGCAAAAAACAACAACAACAAACATATCTGCAATTACCAGAGAAAGCCATTAAGTTGTACTCTATCTACAGTAGCCAACTACACAAATTATACTTCCTTTTAGTATGATCAATCACTCACAAAGGACAACCTGCCTAGTTCATAATCTTCCCTCTATCCCACTCTCACCTACAAAATATCTAACCCGTAGAAATTCCTTCCCAACATTTATTATTATATCTTATTATATTACTTAATGCAAGACATGACTAAAAAGTGAAGATACTGACTAATAAACATACCAGAATTTATATATTCCAATAAATATTACACTGGCAAAGTAGTCAACCTGGATACTACCCTTATAACAATAACAGTATTATTCACAAACATTTTGGGAGCTACCTTCAATGCTAAGTTTATGAGGCCACCAAAAAAAATAAGTCTCATTACATTCAAAGCGTGCTAATAATGAATACTAGAAACTCAAATTTGTATTTATGGAGCGTAACAGTTGACAAAGCTCTCTCAATCCACTATGAGGTACGTGATACAACCAAACTACCTAGTTTGACTATTTTCAACAGTCTTGGCTCTGAATGACTTTTGGCTAGTTCCAGAAATCAAGCCCACCCTCACAACTTGGAAATTTGCCCCCACCAATGATGATATCTCAAGACTGTGTTTCAGTCTTCTGAAGGCAATTACAAAAGGGGAGTTCCAAAATGTCTCACAGCATAACTAGAGTAAGTGTATGGCTTGGTAATGCAACTACACTGAAGGGGACAATACGTTTTGGGTTTTTTTTCTGGCACTTTCATCATTTCTTTCTTCCTTCGATTCATCTGTCTTTTACTAATCAAGGTCATTTCCCCAATCTGTACTCTATACTTCCTGCAAGAGATCCAAATTACTATGAAATCCTTAAATGTTTAATATATTTTCCTACTATACCTTGTCCAAAAGAATCCCCCCAAATTAAGTATTCCTGTTCTTTCAAATCCAACTAAAAGAACTGTTAAGACCTAAAGGTTTACTCAACTTTCTACTTTCAATGCCAGAAAGAAAAGCCAAGCTTTCTTTAAATGATACCTCCCACCCACTCCTAAGACAGTTCATGGTCAGAACAGAGCAGGCTTAAGACCTTGTACTGGAGCCTAGCAAAGAGGGATCTTCACCCTTTAATACAGCTTTAAGGGTTTTTTCCCCTGCACATCTATAAGTGCAGAAAAAATTAAATCACCCCTACACACTCTGAACTTTGAACCTACATTCCAACTTTGTCACTAGAGACTATCCATTTGCTGTTCTTTTCTATGGATTTCCCCATCTACCAATAAGAAGTTTCCTTCAAAACAGCATTCCTGGTTAACAAAAAACATTACAAAAGATAAGAACCCTGTTAAGGGAAAAACATGAATAAGAGTCTGTGATTTTCCATGCACACAAACCACTGTGTCATTTTCATGGTTGACAAACGTGCTCTGTTAGTTAAGGATCACATATGCAGACAAAAATATTTTTTCAGGAAAACTTTCATATGTTGCACGCTACCTGGATATTGCGGCTTTTTCCATCATCTCTTGTTGAATAAGGCCAGACGTCTCAATGACATCCAGGATGATAATACTCCAGAGTTTGTCTGATTTGGGTCTCTGCAGAACTGCACAGTCATCTTCCACATGTCTCAACCAAAATTCCAGTGTGTCTCTAGGAAAGTGGTTGGCTTCAGAAATGAGGTCAAGAGTGAGACGGTGCTGTTCTTTTTCCACAGAACTGTATGGCTTTACTAGTCCCAGTGTCCCAGCAATTATGGGCAGAATGGAAAAGCCCTCAGACACATCTAACACATAGAAAGGGTCAGGGGTGATATGTAGGGAATTTCTATCTTGTGAATTTCCAGAGTTCATCTCACCACCAATAACTTCAACATCCATCTGTTTATTTGGTGTCAATGTTGTCAGCACTTTGCTCATGGCAGCTTTAAATCCTTCATGATAGGGAACATTGTTAAGCAAAGCTATTTCTGTGGATTCCAATGTGCATATCTGCCTGATTTCATCTGGTTTACTGGTTTGAAGGCTAGCCAGCGCACTACAGAGTTCGGCCTCACTACCTAAAACAAGAGACTCCTCCTCATTTTTGCTGGAACCTCTCTCAATATCCATTCCATGATCAGCATTTAAAATATGAATATTCTGGATTCTCAGGTAACAGTCCTGGCAGGAAACTTCCATCATCACATGGTCTCCAGGCTTCACAAAATAATCTTCAATAGGGTTGGGAGTTGGGGGTGGAGAGAGAGAGAAATGCAATAATAATTAATTCAAATAAAAAAGTCTGCGTGGGGTTGAGTGAATTTTGGAGATAAAATTAGAAGACATTAAGCATTGTTACATTACTTTAAAGCAGAATAAAACATACATCTACCTTCAAGGGGCTTATAATTCACCTGGGAAATGTGCTTTATAAACTGTAAAGTACTAAACATATGAGATTTTTAACGATTAAACAGGAAGATATAAAAGAGTTAAATAATAAGAGTAGAAGAGGTTAGGTGTTTGGAAGTTTCTTGGAGGAGGTAGAACCTGAGCTGGACCTTCAATTCAACAAATATTAAGTGTCTACTATGTACAAGGCACTGTAGCAGGCACTAACAAAAGAAAAAAAATAGCCTCTGACCTCAAGGAGCTTACATTCCACTGGAAGGGTACAACAGGTAGATGGATAAATAAATATTAAATATGTACAAAGCATATGAATGTGTATATATACAAAGTAACTTCGAGAGGGAACAAAAAGTCTTCTGTAGGATCTGAAGCCTGAACTGTGCTCTGAAGGAAGCCAAGTCTTCAATGAAGCTGAGGAGAGGAGGCAGGGCTTCCTGAATGTGGGGAACTAACTGTAAAAGAGCAGAGGAAAGAGATGGAATGCCAGGAATGGAGAACTGCAAGGAAGATAGTTTGACTAAGACAAAAAGCTTGTGACTTAGAACTGGAAACGAGGGAGCTATACTGCACTAGGGAGGGCTTTAAAAGCCAAGCAGTCCAAGAGCCAACAGGAAGCCATTAAAGGTTCTTTAGTAGAAGAAATGCAAAAATAGATGATTTCAGGGAGACACGAAAAAATTCTATGAACTAATGCAAAGTGAAGTGAACAGAAACAAAAAACCAATTTATATGATAACATCAATCTTATTAAAATGAACAATTGTGAGGACTTTTATAAACTAATGAAGAATGAAATAAGCGGAACCAGGAAAACATTTCATCTGACAATAATACTAAAAACAAAAAACTATAAAAGCTGTAAGAACTATGACCAATACCATGATCACTCCTGATTCTAGCCTTTGGAGGAAGATGGAGAGGGAGAGGGGAACCAGTACCTGCCCCTTTTAGTCACTAAACAAAGGCTTCTTTTTTTTTATGAAACAGTTTTTATTTCAAAGTTTGTTCATACCAGAAAAACAAATATTCAAATTAAAGTTAATTTTTTCATTTGACATTTCAGTGAGCAAAAAGCTTGATTACAAAGTAAGACAGCATTATCAACCTATCTCAGTTATACCCCTAGTTACCATGTGAAAGATATAATGGAAATCTTATACCCTTTGGACACACACACATAGGACAGGCCTTTTCTGATTCAGTTTGGTCCTTACTTTTCATCTTAAAAGTAGACTAATAAATTTTATGCCTAGGAAATATCTGGCAACAGAGCAACATATTCCTATGTTAATTATTTTTAAAAACTGCTTGAGTGATCCTAATTAAGAATCAGGATGCTAATACTGATTAACTAAATCAATGAACAACCATTAAGTGCCTACTATGTATCAGGCAGCATATAATTTCTTTTTTCTTGAAATTAGTTTTTCCAGTTTACTTGCAAGTACATGTTTTTTGCTAGGTGGAATTACAGTAATTTTGATAAAAATTCCAGTCAGTGCTTAAAGTCTTATGTACAAGTGGGGAAAAAAATCCCAAGAGATTTTTATTTAGAATATTCAGAAATACCTCTGCAAGTAATGAAAATTGCCTATCAGCAGTGATAATACATACTTTCTCTCACCTTTAAGGTTTAGACATTTAGCACTGAAGACAGATAATATTTCCTCATGGCAGAAGACGAAAAGAGCACAAGACTTGGAATCAGAAGACCAGCATTCAAGTTTTTGGAAAACTACTTTGCTAGTCCGAGCCTCAGCTTCTTCATCTAGAAAATGGGGATACTAATACTACCTATCTATCCCACATAGTTGTGGAGAACATGCTTCAGAATAAATTCCTTAAAGAAATGGGAATTGTCATTATTACTTCTTGTGCTATTTACCACACAGGTAAACAGAAGTTTGCTGTATACAGTGGGAATAACATAGGCCCTTATTTTCTTTGAGTACCTCTACTAATTATAATATGCCCCAGAGGCCATGAGCCCCAATGACCAAAAGCGCAGAGGCTTTCTGAAGAGAAGATGTGGCAGATCAGGCTAAAAAGGTAGTCTGGGGTCTGATTCTGAAGGGTCTCAAATACCAGGCTTAACTATTTTTCCTATATGCACCAATGAACATTTTTGAGAGGAGAGTAACATGATGAAAATTTACTGAAAGAATATTAAGTTGATGAGGAAAATGAATTGAAAAGAAAAGAAACTGGATAAATCAAGATTAAGAGGCTATTTCATAAAAGCCTGTACTAAAGTAGTAGCCTAGGGAAGGGCAAGAAAGGGATAGATGAAAAAAAGAAATATGGGCTGACTAGCAAATGATGAGTGAGAGGAAAGATTCAAAAATGAATCCAAGATTTCCAGTATGGGTTACAGAGAATGGTAGTAACAAATTGAGTTTAAAGTAATGGTAGGACAGCTAAATGGAAATGTCTAGCAGACAGGAGATGCTGGGCTAAAGCTCAGGACAAAGTTAAGGGTCAGAGATACAAATTCAGGAAGCATTCTCATGTAAGTGTTATCTGAAGCCATGAGCATGGATAAGGTGTCGAAGAGAGAAAATATCGAAAGAGAAGAACCAAGAACCAATGACTAAGCCTCAAGGAACACTCATTTTAAGGCGACCTAAGAAAAAAATAGTTGCCAAGAGAAAAACTAGGACGTTAAAGAATTACTAAAGCTGAGGGGGTGGGAAAGACTTTCAAGAAGGAAGGGATTGATAATGTACATAAAAAACATTGTCCATTAGTAGAGGTGATTAGAGTTAATGAGTCACAGCTCCAGTCAATGACACTTCTAATCCGAACCTCTTGAAAAACTGAGCCCTTGGTCATGAATTTGACCATGTGATGACCTTGCAGATGATTCCACTCAATCTATTAATATATGGCTAGCAGCCATTGAATCAGTAGCATATTCATATATGAAAGACAGCACTTACCTAAATGTGATTCAGAATTTGCTATAAATCACTCAAAATTGTACATCATTTACTATACTCACTCTGGAGAAGCAGGAAGGCCTAATCACTTTCTGAGGAAATTTTCAGTCCCTAGAGTCTACCCTATTCTTTTCCAACCAAAAAGCTTGTTATTTGGTGACAAAGTAGATGATGCTCAGAATCAGATTGTCTGGAAAGAATTCAGGAGGCAGAGGTTCTCCTAATCAAGAGGGCTTTATTGACAAAAAAGCAGTGGGCTAGTCCCTAGGAGCACTAGAGACTTTTGAAAAAAGACAGAGGTAGGGGGCAGGTAGGTGGCGCAGTGGATAGAGCACCAGCCCTGAAGTCAGGAAGACCTGAGTTCAAATCCAGCCTCAGACCAAACACCTGACACTTACTAGCTGTGTGACCTTGGGCAAATCACTTAACTCCAACTGCCTGAAAGAAAAAAGACAGAGACTTGCTTTTATATCCAAGTTTTGGGCACTCAGCTAGGTTTAGGGGTATGCTCCTACTTTAGCAGTTAACCACAGGAAGGGGGAATCAGGTGTGTTGGGTATTTTACAAAACAGTTCAGGGACATGGTCACATAACAGGGAACTTAACTGGCAACATTCAAGGATATGGGCACAAACAACAGGTGTTAGTCATACACACAGAAAATAATAAGGTTTTCTTGTTAACAGATACAGCCCCCTGATACTGGGCAGATTTAGATTTAGGCAGGGCTCTCATTATTGCTGGGCAGAAGTCAGCTTTCATCACTTGGTACTTGTTTTGAGACATATAATAAAAATGCCAATACTATCTAAATTAATTTGTAAACTATACCAATCAAACTACCAAGACGATACTTTGGAGAGCTATAAAAGAAATAACAAATGATTCACTTGGAGGAATAAAAGGTCTAGCATCTTTAAATTAGAATGTAAGCTCCTGAGGGCAGGAACTTTTTACCTTTCTTTGTTCCAAAACGCCTAGCATAGTACTTGGTTCATAATAAAACCTATAAATACCTGCTTGTTGAGTAACCAGAATATCGGGGGAAAAGCAGATGAATAGGACAAACACCCTTCCCAAACCCTACAGATCTGAATATGACAGGGAAATGAATAAGTTAATACCTTTAATATTCCATATCAAGGTTGAGGTACTGAACTTCGAAAGACAGGTATGTAACTGATGATCTTATGTACTATACATTTATGTAGAATGAAAATAAGAAAGCCAGAAGGGACTTCTTTTGAAATGATGGATGGTTTGAGATGAAGGATAAGATTCTAGGAGAGGCTGGGTGAGAGTCTCACTCAAACAAGAAGTCCCCTTCCCCAAATTAGAACCATGAACATGAACTAAATCACTGATACATTCCCCAAATTAGAACCATGAACATGAACTAAATCACTGATACATTCTTTCTCCACTTAGTTGTTTTGGGCCACAACTCCATTTATCTGACAAGTATTTATTAAGTACCTACTATATAATTAGAACTGGGGCCACATGGGTGGATGAAGAGATAGAGATCCTTTGCTCAAAGAGCTTATATGGGAGGGGTAGGGGTGGAACTGGCACCACTGGAGAAGCCTGGAAAGGTAGGTTGCAGCCAAGAAGCTAAACGCCAAACAGAAAAGTTTGTTTCTCCTCCTAGAGCATAGGACCAGGGGTCCACAGATACCCAAAGGGTCTGTGTATAGATTTTAGGATATCCTTGAACTTGGTTGAAAGGAAAAAAAAAACCCTTTAACTGAGATTTACTAATTTCTTCAATTATAATTTTTAAAAAACAACAACAAACCAATATTCTATGGAGTCTACAGGTTTCAACAGACTGCCAAAGGACTCCACAACACACACAAAAAAAGATTAAGAATCCTTGTCCTAGAGGGATGGTCCCTTAGCAGAGGGAAAGGTAAAGTGGATGGGGAAGAATAAACTAGAAAACCTAGGTGATGAAAAAGATATTAATAAAAAAAGTTTAAGTTAAAAAATTTAGATAAAAAATAAAAAAGTTCCATGCTGTTTATTATTTACTGAATTTATTATAATGCTTTATTTATTGATCATTCTTCAGATAGAATATTAATTCAAGAAAGATTAATTTATTCTTAAATGTTTTACAGTAAAAATACTGGGAATGGACATTAGTCCAGAAGTTAATTTGTTCTTAAATATCTTCATTGTGTAAACAATGGGAAATATTAATTAACAATTTATAAGAAAAAGGATGTTAGTAAAAATGAAATAAACTCATATAAAAACTGAATTTCCACAAATCTTTGCAGTTTTATAGAATTATTATTGCCAAAACTTTAAGGGGATCATCTTGTCACTGGGGAAACCTCTAAGAAACAAGGCAAGGGGCAGGTAGGTGGTATAGTGGATACATCACTGGCCCTGGGGTCTGGAGGACCTGAGTTCAAATCAGGCTGCAGACACTTACTAGCTGTGTGACCCTGGGCAAAGTCGCTTACCCCCAAATGCCTCACCCCAAAAAAAAAAAGATTTCTGGTAAAGAAAATAAAAGCAACTATAAAGACTTTTTACTCTGGCTCTTAAAATGTCCTTTCCCTAAGACTGAAAAGATTAGGAAAATAAAAATAGAAAAAGGAGCCTACTTAATATAATTTATCAATTTATCTTTTACTAAGATCAAGGTCTTCAGCTGTATCCAATTTGCCTCTTTTGTCCTCCTCCAAACCTTAAAACTTCTCTATGTCTTTACCTATTACTCTTTTTTTTTTAACCTTTATCTTTATTCTTCTCCAGTCTCAAAATGGGGGGGAGGGCGGGTGAATCTTCTCACCAAAGTCCTCCTATACCTCTGTTCTTGATCATACCTCCTTCTCCTCTAGCATCCTCCCTCAATCATTTCCATCTCCAATCTCTAGGCTTATAATTATGTTCAGATCTCCCTTATTTTTCCCCAAAACCTTTCCTTAACTTGTCATAATTAAAAGGGGAAAAAAACCTAGGGGAAAGGTAGGCAAACTGGAGAAGTGAAGAAAGAGAGGCTATGGGAAAAGAGTAGCATCAAAGCAACTTATGCAATACTACCACCAAGGACAAAGTACTGAATTAAAAGAAGAAAGTAACAAAAAGATTTTTAAAGTAATATTAAAGAAACAAATGGAAGAAAATAAAAGTCTAAAACTCATAAATTTACACGTGAACAGACTAAATAATCCAATAAAACAAAAGAGAAGGCAGAAGCCCACCATCAGTAGTACATAAGAAGCACATCTAAAAAGCAAGACATCAAAATGAGACTAGAGCATGATTCACATGCATCAGGTGAATTAAAAGAAAAAGAGCTCTTAATATAGATCTTCCTGTCTTTGAGGATGACTATCTTCTAAGCTACATTCCCTCTCACCAAAGCACATGCATTCCTTCATTGAAGGATCTTAGTCCACTGACTCAGAGCTTCTCAATTTCACTTTTAGAGTTAAGCTCTCAATTCATGTGCATCAACAATCAGTTAATTATTTCAGGACACAGGTACTACCAAGAGTCCTATGAGGTAAAATATTTCACAGACACCAAAGGGTGTGAACTAAACTGATAAGACTTAGAAAGCAGCTAGAAACTCAGTGTATGTGTCCTTGATCTCCATTCAGTTTCTAACAGTCTACTAGATCAGTGAATTCTCCCCCACAAATGATAATGGAAATGGAAACTACAATTTTCCAATCCCTCTAAACTAGAGTTCAAGTGACCCAGCAAGATGGCAAAGAAAAAGCACTAGTGTAATGTACTAACACAGAGCATGTTGGGATCCTAACATCATGATCACAGAAACAATAATTTGGACAGGAAAGGAACTCAGAGTTCAAACTGTCCACCCCCTTCCTTGTCTCACAGGTGAAGACACCAGAAGTCAAAAGAAGGGGAAGTGACATGCCTAAGGTGACATTAAGCTACAGAAGTAAGATCTGAACCCAGATGTTCTCGCTCTAAACTGAGTGTACAACACTGTTTCTCAAAAACTTCCATTTGATGCATACCCTTTGACTCAGCAATACCACTTCTAGGGCTATATCCCAAAGAGATCATACAAATAGGAAAAGGACCCACATGTACAAAAATATTCATAGCAGCTCTTTTTGTAGTGGCAAAGAATTGGAAATTGAGAGGATGCCCATCAACTGGGAAATGGCTGAGCAAGTTGTGGTATATGAATGTAATGGAATACTATTGTGCTATAAGAAATGATGAACAGGCTGACTTCAGAAAAACCTGGAAAAACTTGTATGGCCTGATCCTGAATGAAGTGAGCAGAACCAAGAGAACATTGGACACAATATCAGCCATGTTGTGCGATGACTAATATTGATAAACTTAACCATTCTCAGCAATACAAGGATCTAAGACATCTCCACAGGCCTCATGAGGGAAAATGCTATCTACATCCAAAGAACGAACTATGGAAGTTGAATTGCTATCTTTTTTTTTCTCTTCTGTTGAGTTTTGTTTTCTCTTTCTGATGGTTCCTCCTATTGGTTTGAATTTTTACTTACAACATCACTAACGTGAAAATATGTTTAATAGGAACGTAAATGTATAGCTTATATCAGATTGTGCACCGTCTTGGGGAGGGTAGTAGGGAGGAAGGGGGAGAAAAATTTTAAACTCAAAAGCATATGGAACTGATTATTGATAAATCAAAATAAATTAATAAAAAAACCCCTTCCATACGATTACAGTCCTTTAAACAAGTTCCATCAATACAAAAGTATAAGTGTATGCCTACTATGTGTGTGTGTGTGTGTGTGTGTGTGTGTGTGTGTGTGTGTGTGTGTTCTTGTGAATGTAAGTATGCGTGGGCACAGACACAAAATTTGGTCTAAAATTGTGATTTCATTGGGATACAGAACTCCTAGTTAGGAAATTCCCTCAACAAATGAAGATTAGCAACTATTTTGAAACTGTTTTGAAAGCTGCCTAAAGACACTGAAAGGTTAAGTGACTTGCTCAGGGTCATAGAGCCAGCAGGTTTCAGACAGGACGTAAACCTAGATCTTTCTATCTTTGCAGCTAATTCCTCATCTCCTAGTTGGCCCCCCTCCAAATTTATGCTGTCCCTAAAATGAAAGCTTGTTGAAAGGCACAGTGTTTCAACTTTACTTTTAGAGTACATGTGAAAATAAAATTGTATAAACTCCCAAAAGTAAAATAAAATTCCCTCTCCTGAGTGAGGTTACATTAAACTATAACTTCCTCTTCCCACCCCTCCCTTCCCCTCCACCATCACCAAAGGAGCAGGACTCAAGCAAACCCATCATAAAGCAAACTAAACACACACCTGGGAGGCTCTGCACAGGGTAGACAGCTTGTTCCCAACATGTCTCTTCATGAGGACTTGTTGATAAACTGTGTTCGTCATCAAGCTGAAGCACAAACCAAACTATGATGGCATCTAGCTCTCCTTCCTGTATGACAGGAACACTTATCTGATGAGGCTTTTTGGTTGCAAGGCTTTTTAGTTCCTAATTAAGAAAAGGAGTAAAAAAGCTATGAGATTTAATATGTACATAAATATATGGAAGTTTACATATACACATACAGTATATAACTAAGTCCACCCAAGTATTATTTGAATATTTCACTATCTTCACATTCAATTTCTCAGCATGTCTCGATGAAGCATTAAATTTTCCAAATTAAAAGGTGGTAGGATTCTGCCAACACAGAGAACTCCCAGTGTTGGAACATTTCCCCCAACATCCATCACAACCCTTTCATACATAGAGTTTAAGACTTGCCCACCATCACATAGCTACTAACGTCTCAGAATCTGAAAGCAAAGCTCCCTAATTAAGGTCAGCACTCTCATCTACTACATTATGATGCCTCACCAAAACACAACATAGTGCAAAAGAAAGAACACTAGATTAGGAATCAAGAGACCTGGATGCTTAGTCTTAGGTTTCCATTGTTCTAGACACTATTTTCAGCCTACAGTGAGGTAACATCAGAAGAAATCACTAAAATAATGGCCATGATTTATGTGCAGAATATAAACCAATAATGAGTAAATAAACAGAAAAAAATACACATATATAGAAAGAGAGGCTTATCCTTAGTTATGGAGCTCAAAATATACATGTTTTCTAGAGTAAGAGGAAATAGGAAATTAGAAAAGTTGATATAATGATCAGAACATATCTCTACCCTAAACCATGATCAAATATGCATCAAGTTTGGTGCTGTTTAATCACAAAATTATTTAAAGGGATCAAATTTTAAAAGACTAGACTACATATTTATTATGTGATAGTCTCTAGAACTTCAGATAACATAAAATTTTAGTGACTATATAGTAAATTTTAAAATAGCAATAATAATCTAATAATCCAAGGAGTTGTTTACCTGAAGATTATTGAAATCTACTCTCATAGTTTCAAAGGACTCTGTAAGAGGTAAATAGCCCCCAGGAACTCGACTCATTTTTTCAGTTGTATAAGGTTCAACTGTCTCTTCAGAATCTACAGAAGAATATGTGGGACTCTGAAATTTCACAGATGCTGGTAAATGAACACCAGCAACATCCTGAACACCCAGCCTGGTGAGGAGGGGAAAAAAAAGGCAAGATTTATATTTTTGTATTTATATTTTTGTAATCCACCAGGCAAATCCAGCACTAAGTCTTAAACAACAATAACAACTGTTGAACACCATTTCCAATGTTCCTTGGCAACACTATAGACATCTGATATAGAGACAATGGGTTATAGATATCTATCCTGCCCTACAGAAAAATAGAAGGGAAAGATGATGGGGGGATGATAGAAAATGCAGAAAATTGGGCTTTATTAACAAGGCAAAATTAGGCTAATATAAAACTACCATAGGCAAATCCTACCTAACACTATTAGTTGGTGCCACAAAAACCCAATGTTAGGCAAAATGACTTTATTAGAGGCAGTTAGTGCCAAGGGGAAATGTTATAAATATGCCACTGGTCAAATGATCTTATAATATTTTACAATGGAATTTGACTGTAATGTACCATATGGGTCCAAATATAGAACACACATTTTCTCACTGCACTCATACAGTTTGCCCTTTCTCATCCTTAGTACAAGACTAGCCTATTTCCTTTTCTAGTCATACATGTCCTTAACCATTTATTTTATGCAATCTTCTGATGCCCAGTCACTGGGGCAATATGCTTGAGTCTTTCCATCGTCCTTCAGGTTAGTGTTGATTCTGATGCTTCCAAAGTACAGATGGTCCATATTCTGTAGCACAAAGCATCAGTGAAGGAATACTGGTTTTTAAAAATGGGATTTCATGGCAACATATAATCTGGAATCACTGAAAAGCACTGTAAAATTTCCTTAATGCAATGCAGCTTGATTTCTTTCTCTTATTTAATTCTGTTTCATACACATATACTTTGGTTATAAATGACAGATTAACAGTAACTCAATAGGTTTCGCATACAGCTCATAGATTTAAAAGTGGAAAGACTTTAGAGGTTCTTTAGTCCACATCCCCTCCTATTTACAAATGAAAAATTGAGCCCAGAGAGGTTAAATGACCTGTCCAAGGTAACACAGGTAGTAAGCAGTAAAGATGAGATCTGAACAGCTTCAATTCCCTAACCTCCAATCTAGCACTTCAGAGTAAAAGTTTTTTATCTACTTTTTTTTTTTTCCCAGAGTGGATGGTTAAGCCATCTCTATTACACTACTATGGAAACCTGACATAGAAATCCCAGGTCTTAATGTATATAATGCAATGAACAAGTATTTAGAGAACCTCACTCTTGATAAGAAATTATTCTTATATTTTAACTATGAACAGGGAATTTTCAACTTGGTGAATGTGTGTGTGTGTATATGTGGATGTATTCCTGCTGGATGCCTTGTTATATCTATAGTTGCAATTGTCAGAGTCTGGTATGATTTTAACGTTTGTGTGAGATAAATATTCTTTGATGAGAGATTTTAAGTTTTAATTTTATTAAGTCAAAATCTTATGAAACAGAGTAGTAAACAACATAAAAAGACTGTTATTTTCCTTACATGATTCAGTTTTGTGACTATAAAAAGATATCATCTGTGAAAGCATTTGTAAAATCCTTCCTTTACATGTGTTCATTAAGGATACTCTGGATGTACGCAGAGCCCATTCTCATAAAACACTGAGAAAAATAAGAAAGCAGGAACACATACCAATCATTTTTGATGCCTCCCTAATCAGAGCATTGGATCTGGAGTTAGAAGATCAAATCCTGTTCTGACATTTATCATGTGTGTGGCCTTGGGTAAAGTCACTTCCCCTCACAGCCTGAGCATCTACACAATGAGAGAGAGTTGTGCCAGATGATCTGTAAGGGCCATCCTAGCTACTTCTTCCCCTTTGAAGGTATCTTGAAAATCTATCCCTAGTGGCTATTAAAAACTGTGGTTTCTATTTTTTTTTTGTGGGCAGGGGGGTCTTGTTTTATTTTTTTCTTTTTAATTTTATTAATTCATTTTGATTTATCAACAATCACTTCCATATGCTTTTGAGTTGAAAATTTTTCTCCCCCTTCCTCACCCCCACCCTCCTCAAGACGGCCCACAATCTGATATAGGCTTTACATTTACATACCCATTAAACATATTTTCACATTAGTGAAGTTGTAAGTAAAAATTAAAACCATTAGGAGGAACCATCAGAAAGATGAAACAAAACTCAACAGAAGGTAAAAATAAGTGATAGCGATTCAACTTCCATAGTTCTTTCTTTGGATGTGGACAGCATTTTCCATCCAGGCCTCTGGAGATGTCTTAGATCCTTGTAATGCTGAGAAGGGTTCAGTTTAACAATCTTAGTCATTGCATAACGTGGCTGTTATTGTGTACCAAGTCCTCTTGGTTCTGCTCACTTCATTCAGCATCAGACCACATAAGTCTTTCCAGGTTTTGAAGTTAGCGTGTTCATCATTTCTTATAGCACAATAGTATTCCATTACATTCATATACCACAACTTGCTCAGCCATTCCCCAGTTGATGGGCATCCTCTCAATTTCCAATTCTTTGCCACCACAAAAAGAGCTGCTATGAATATTTTTGTACATGTGGGTCCTTTTCCCATTGGTTTGATCTCTTTGGGATATAGCCCTAGAAGTGCTATTGCTGGATCAAAGGGTATGCACATTTTTGTAGCCCTTTGGGCATAGTTCCAAATTGTTCTCCAAAATGGTTGGATCATTTCACAACTCCACCAACAATGTATTAGTGTTCCAATTTTCCCACATCTTCTCCAACATTTATCATTTTCCTGTTTTGTCATGTTGGCCAATCTGATAGGTGTGATGTGGTACCTCAGAGTTGTTTTGATTTGCATTTCTCTAATCAATAACGATTTAGAGCATTTTTTCATATGACTATAGATGGCTTTAATTTCTTCATCTGAGAACTGTCTGTTCATATCCTTTGACCATTTATCAATTGGGGAATGGCTTGTGTTCTTATAAATTTGTCTTAATTCTCTATATATTTTAGAAATGAGGCCTTTATCAGAGAGACTGGTTGTAAAAATTCTTTCCCAATTTTCTACCTTCCTTCTAATCTTAGTTGCATTGGCTTTGTTTGTGCAAAAACTTTTCAATTTAATGTAATCAAAATTATCCATTTTGCTTTTCATAATGTTCTCTATCTCCTGTTTGGTCATGAATTCTTCTGTTCTCCATAGATCTGATAGGTAAACTATTCCTTGTTCTCCCAGTTTACTTATGGTATCAGCCTTTATATCTAAGTCATGAACCCATTTTGACTTTATTTTGGTATATGGTGTGAGATTTGGGTCTATGCCTAGTTTCTGCCATACTCTTTTCCAGTTTTCCCAGCAGTTTTTTTCAAAGAGTGGGTTCTTATCCCAGAAGCTGGGGTCTTTGGGTTTATCAAATAATAGATTACTATAGTCATTGACTACTGTGTCTTGCATATTTAACCTATTCCACTGATCCACCTCCCTATTTCTTAGCCAGTACCAAGCAGTTTTGATGATTGCTGCTTTATAATACAATTTAAGATCTGGAATTGCTAGGCCACCTTCCCCTGCATTTCTTTTCATTAGTTCCTTTGATATTCTGGACCTTTTCTTTTTCCAAATGAATCTTGTTATTATTTTTTCTAACTCTATAAAATAATTTTTGGTAGTTTGATTGGTATGGCACTGAATAAGTAAATTAGCTTAGGTAGGATTGTCATTTTTATTATATTAGCTCGCCTACCCATGAGCAACTGATGTTTTTCCAATTATTTAGATCTGATTTTATTTGTGTGAAAAGTGTTTTGTAATTGTGTTCATAGAGTTCCTGGGTTTGTTTTGGGGAGATAGACTCCTAAATATTTTATAATGTCTACAGTAAGTTTAAATGGGATTTCTCTTTCTATCTCTTGCTGTTGGGCTTTGTTGGTAATATATAGAAATGCTGATGATTTATGTGGGTTTATTTTATAGCCTGCAACTTTGCTAAAGTTGTTTATTATTTCAAGTAGTTTTTTACTTGATTCTCTAGGATTCTCTAAGTATATCATCATGTCATCTGCAAAGAGTGATAGCTTTGTTTCTTCTTTGCCTATTCTAATGCCTTCAATTTCTTTTTCTTCTCTTATTGCTAAAGCTAAGGTTTCCAGTACAATATTGAATAACAGTGGTGATAATGGACATCCTTGTTTCACCCCGATCTTATTGGAAATGCTTCTAGCCTGTCCCCATTACATATAATGCTTGCTGAAGGTTTTAGATAATGCTATTTATTATTTTAAGGAAGACTCCATTTATACCTATGCTTTCTAGTGTTTTTAATAGGAATGGGTGTTGTATTTTATCAAAAGCTTTTTCTGCATCTATTGAGATGATCATGTGGTTTCTGTTGGTTTTGTGTTGATATGCTCAATGATGCTGATAGTTTTCCTAATATTGAACCAACCCTGCATTCCTGGTATAAATCCTACCTGGTCATAGTGTATTATTCTTGTGATAAGTTGCTGCAATCTACTTGCTAGTATTTTGTTTAAAATTTTTGCATCTATATTCATTAGAGAAATTGGTCTATAATTTTCTTTCTCTATTTTGACTCTTCCTGGTTTAGGTATCAACACCATATTTCATAAAAAGAATTTGGTAAGACTCCTTCTTCACCTATTTTCCCAAATAGTCTATATAGTATTGGAATTAATTGTTCTTTAAATGTTTGATAGAATTCGCATGTAAATCCATCTGGCCCTGGAGATTTTTTCCTAGGGAGTTCATCAATGGCTTGTTCAATTTCTTTTTCTGAGATGGGGTTATTTAAGTATTTTACTTCCTCTTCGTTAATCTGGGCAATTTATATTTTTGTAAATATGTATCCATTTCACTAAGATTGTCAAATTTGTTGGCATATAGTTGGGCAAAATAATTCCTAATTATTGTTTTAATTTCCTCTTCCTTGGTGGTAGCTTCCCCTTTTCATTCTTGATACTAGTAATTTGGTTTTCTTCTTTCTTTTTTTTAATTAAATTAACCAAAGGCTTATTTATTTTATTGGTTTTTTCATAAAACCAGCTCTTAGTTTTATT